TTACCTACTTACCTACCTACCTACATCGATACGTGGATACCTAGATTAATCTAGATACATACAAACATAGATAGATATTTCGACAGATATATAGGTAATTAGAGATGGAGATAGAGATAAAAGGACAGACAGATGGGTAAATCGATACATAGATAGATTGATTTATTGATAGCTAGATCTATTGATAGACAGATGGTTAAATGGAGAGGTAGATCAGCTAAAGATCAGGGCTCACATAGGGTTTGGAGATAAATCTCAAGGTTCTGACCTTAGATTTTTTGGCTGCAGATTTGGGAGTGCAGCGCTTGTGAAAACATAAGGCTTGTCAACTGCAGGCGCATGGTTCGAGTTTGGAAAGATCCAAGAACAAGCTAACAAGTGAAACTTCCAGTAGAATTTCCGAACATGAAATACATCCTTCAATATTTATAATAACAATAAGAATATGTGGCGAATAATAAAGTTATTAGGAGTTCCCGGGCAACCCAAAGCTTTAAACCCCACACGGAGAACTTCTACACCATGGAGGTTTTGACTCTCTAGGTCCGACAGTCCGAAGATGTCAAAACGGGACAACTCTTCACCACAGGGTTCAGCGGTTCGATTTAGGGTTTAGGGTTTAGNNCCCCCCCCCCCCCCCCCGATTCCCAATTTTTACCTCGGCCTCGCCTCTTTGACCTCTGCAAGTTGTACACCAGGCTTAAATCGACTCTAGACATTAGCCCAAAGCCCCTCAGTTCGGTATGCAGATCATCCGTCCAAGATCGCCAGAGCTTCGTACCACACTCGTGAACCTAGAGCCCCACACCTGGGGTCACAGAAAAGCTCAACCCTCGGGATCAGGGGAGCTTAGCAAGTAGATCGTGGCTTTGGGTTTTCTTCCCTACGGCGGGGGCGATCATTCATAACCCTACTCAGACGAATTCGGTCAAGCGCTTGATCCTTTAAGAAAAGTCACCGGCCATGAGCGAGACGTGCTGTGCCGCGTTCTTGCGTCGCTTTGAGCCGCCGCGGCCACGCATCCGCACGGCTGCAGACGGTCCGCTGAGTGCCGATGAGGCAGGGTCAACCGACCCCTGGGGCTCCATGTGCCTAAAAAATGGGCCTTAAAAATTAGAATAGGGTTTTGAGTTTTGGATTTTTCCTTATTATAGCTATAGTACAGTATACCCCCAACCCTATTAAAATTATTAGGGCCCCTACCTTAATTTAGGGGGCAAAGATAATTACCAACACTATTTGGGGGGGCTCCTTTTTACGATTATAGTATACAAAAGAATGTACAAGGTAGTATGCACAGAGGCCTTAAACATACTATGTAGGAGTCCCTTCACATCCTAAGTATATACTAGATGGGTACACGGAGCAATTGGTAGAGAAGCTAGAGCATTTTTGCGAGAGTTCCAGTATTCATAAGTGGGCGTTAAGTTTTGTGCGCATCAGTTTTGCTGTAATAAGAACACATATAAGACTACCAGTGATACCAAGGCAGACAACAACAACAGTAACAGTAACAGTACAACTGCCTAGCATAGGGACATCAGTAGTACTGAAGACAAACCCTAAACACTAAACCCTAAACCCCTTAACCCTAAACCCTAAACCCTAAGCCCTAAACCCTAAACCCTGACAACAGTTGAGTACTTGGGTTGGAAGGCTTGTCGGTAGCTACTGGTACAATAGGGTTTAGGTTTAGGGCTTAGGTTCAGGGTTTCAGGGTTTGGGGTTTAGGTTCAGGGTTTCAGGGTTTAGGGTTTAGGGCTTAGGTTCAGGGTTTCAGGGTTTAGGGTCTAGGGCTCAGGGTTTCGGGTTTAGGGTTACCTGGAAAGCTGCCAGTATGGAGCTTGCATGTGTCTACTTGTTAAGCCCTACACCAAAGCCTACCTACATTCTTGCCAGTTGCCCGCTGCCGGCACAAACTACTGAGCGGTGAGTTTCGGGTTTAGGGTTTGCGTATAGGGTTCAGGGTTTAGGGCTTACTTGCATGGGGTATAGGATACCCTAACTACTGATGAACATCTCACGCGCTGCTGGTTCCTCTTGCACCCTCTGAAACCCTGAAAGCTAAACCCTAAACCCTAAACACAGAAACCCGCATCCAAAAACGTCCCCTAAGCCCGAAGGCCCTAATCCACAACAGCAAGAACCTACAACCCCAACTTGTACATAGTATAGGGGCCTTAATAATTACCTATACTATTCCAGGGGTTCCTTACTATAGTTATATAGCATGATACTCCAAAACCCTATTCTCATTTTTAGGCCCTCCACATCAAACCCTAAAGCCTAAACCCTAAACTCTAAACCCAAGTTCAAGTCCTCAACCATCGAAGCCCGAACTTGGAAGGCCTTGCGTCTCCTTCAAGAAGGCAATGAGCGCTTCGCGACAAGACGTTCCAGGACGCCGGGCTAAGGATTTGGGTGTAGATTTGGCTTGCAACCTCGTGTTCCAAACCCTACCTTAAGAACCCCAAACCTACTTTTTTGTAGGGTCCCTATAACTCCCATATTAGGGTTTATAATAAGAACCTACAAAAAGTAGGGTTTGGGGTTCTTAAGGTAAACCCTCAAATCCTAGTTAAACCCCACCCCCTGACATAACCAGGACCAAATATCTACGGCAAATCTACGGCCCCAGGGCCTCTATCGGAATCTCAGAGATTCTTCAGTTTCCGCAACTTCCACGTCCTCCCTGTGGTAAAAATTGACACAGATTCACAGTGTCTAAGCCTGTGTGCCATTGATACACTTAGTCAGACGACACCGGAGGTGTTTGTGCAGTGTACTCCATACTGTGGTGATCCTCCCCAAACGCTTCAAGTCGCAAAACCGTAATCCGCACAGAATTAACGCCTGAAGCCTTACCAGGAACTACAATGGAGACTGTCAATATATCTCAGTTCCCCTAAGGGGTTCATTTTGGGGTTCTATATGAAGATTTGTAGGGTTCTATATGGGGGTTGTTGTTTGTCGGGAGGTTGCCGTTCAGGAATTAATTATCTCTTGTTGCAATGCGCAAGGTCTGCGACCCTGTTCTCAGTTTAGGGTTTTGGGTTTAGGTTCGGGTGATGCTTGCTGGCATCTCCCTTAAGGGTTGTGGGCATAGGGCCCTGGGTATCAGGGTTGAGAGTAATGTCGTTCCTTGTTGTCAGTCTAATTGCCAGAACCCCAAATCCCAACGTAAAACATCCCCAGGTTCAATCCACAAGTACCTTACATTGTAGTTCCAACTGCGGAACTTTGCATGTAATCTAAGTTTCTTATCTCCATAAGTACTCGAGCAGTCTAAACACTCACCGGTACCAGGTACGAACTCCCATGGGCTCAGAGTGTTTACGGTTTGAGTACTTGGACCTGCAGGGAAAGCCCAAAAGACACAGGGGAACGATGGGAATAATGTTGGAGGTGAATAACTAGCAACTAGTAATAGTATTCCGTTATGTAGATCAAACGCTAAGACCCCTACATCATCGAACCCTTACACTAAGCTTTGTGTAGCCATTTCGGGAGCTCTTAAAGGCACCCTACTCCAGGTTTTGAAGGCCCGTACAGTACATCCAAAGCTCTGAGGAGACAAGGCACAAGCGCAGCCATGCGTCAGACCCTTTTCGACCAGGTGGCTCCGCTCTGTTTGACATAGGTGCCTAAATCATTAATCGTTTCAGTAGGGTTGGGGGTTCCGGGTTAGGGTGTGGGTTTTGTATAGGGTTTCGGGATAGAAGGGTTCCTTTAAGGGGCTACGAGAACGGATATTATTAAGGATTCCAGTTTACAGTGGCCTCAATGGAATAGGGTTGTATCCTAGCTATAATTGGTAACTAGTCAGGTTTCTCTGCTATCATCAAGGGTGCTGGCCAAGGGCATGGCTTTGTTTTTGTTGGTTCCTACTGCCTTTAA